TATATATATATATATATATAAACATACAAAAAAATCAAGACGAGTCTAACATATAAATATAGTTAACCTACTTACACCATGTATTTTTCTCACCAAGGGAGGTCACCTTGCTACAAGGTGGCTCCGCAACTGTTAAAAATATTAATTAAAATGATAAATTGATTAAACTATTCTTTAATTTCATCTTATCATCACTCAACTCTTCCTCTCATCACATTAATTTACTAGAGTAATATAAGAGTAAAGGTGTGAAAAAACTAATTAATTCTATCTTGATTTTCTAAAATAACATGACTAATTATTTTTAGTAACCATGACAACTTAAGAAAACTGGAGGGAGTACTTCATCCATTCACTTTACAGGTCTTAATTTGACATTTTTTATTTCTTCATTTTGAAAGTTTAAAAATGTAAAGACAACTTTAGTTTTGAATTTTGTAATTAATCTTAAACTATAGGCACGTACATTATAGTAAAATACTTATTGAATCTTGTGATCTTATACATATTATGTCATTCCTAGAAGGTACTGTCATTAAAGGTAAAGTGAGATGGTTGATATTAAAAACTTCGAGTAACAATTCAAATACCTGAATAACCTAACTTCATCTCATTCTGAATATCTGTATCAGTCATGTTTTTAATCATGGCTAAAGCGTTACTGCACAATTTCTCCACATAAACTTGCCCTTTAAGCAAAACCTTACGAACTTTTTTATCAGCTTCATCATGTGAAAACCCGTCAAGACAAGTCTCTTGATTAGTAATAGCAGCACTAATTAAAGTTTTCAAATCATCTGCATGTTGTCTCAACGACTTAGCATTAGGATATTTTTCCAAATCTTCAACAGCCGTGTGTAGCTCATCAATTGTCTCGTCTATCGTCTCCAGACAATCGTGTAACGCGATTTTTTCGCATTCTGTTAAATCCTTTCGTGTTTTTATTAGCTTTTCTATGGCGTAGTAGTTGCGTTGCACGGCCTTAGTTGTAATATTCAAGGATAACTGAATGACATCCTTTTGGTTTGTGACTTTTTTGGAGAAATTTGGGATATTATTTGCAATTGTAGAGTAGCATAATTCTTGGTGTAAAGTGATGCTACATGAGGATTTCACTATGGTATGAGAAATGGCCTCGATTTGGGCTTGATTTGAGCTATTTTTTCGTGAGTAATTTACTCCAATGACTACTCCAATAACTGCAGCAATTACTAGGATAGTGGCAATGAAGAATAAGAAGAGCTTTCGTTTTTCTACCTTTGAAAAACAATTTGTGTGTTTGCCAGAATCTGTTATTCCGCCTAAGAATTCTTTGAAAGTCATTGGGTTTGTAGGTGAAAGAATGAAGTAAAGAGTAGTAGTTAGATCGTGTTTATATTAGTGATGGCGAGAGGTAGAGGCAGCCCCAGGATTGAAATTTAACGAAAAGCTGCATTATATACGGGTGCCAACTATTAATATATAACTATCTTCTAAAGATATTTATACACATGTATATATGTAATTTTGCTGAACTTTACGGGTATCGGTGACGGTGACCCCTCTATCTATTGCATAGGTCCGCCTCTCGCAAGAGCCTAACTTTGAACTTTTGTTACTCACTCGGTCGTAGTTTATGTGATGTAGTTCCGATTTTGAGAGTCAAATGAATTTTTTCTTTGATCTAAATATTTTTACTAGTATTAGCACCCGCGCGGATGCGCGGACACTTATCATGTCAAATATTTATTTATTTGAATTATGTGTCAATAGTCTTAGAATTTAAACCTTCTTGATAAATATAGATAAACATTGGATATAAATTAAGAAACACTACATGAAAAAGATTAACCATTTCTCAAATTTCCTAGTTATAATTCTATTTTCTTTTTCGGTACCATTCTCAGCGGTGTCATTGGATCCTGAAAATATTCAGGAAGCAAAATAATAACTCATATCTATGGCAAAAAATTCAAAGGTTGAGACTATGAAGGATTCTTTGGATACGACTTGCCTCTTGTATTATTACTTGAACTCTTATTTGGTGTGTTGATATTTTTCAAAAAGTATTGCTAGTTTAAAATTCCAATTTCTAAAACTTTATTTTTCAATAATAATTATTTTTATAATAATAGAAGTAAAAATATTGTCCTTAATTCAAAAACTCAGTTAGTCGGGTATCTAAAAATTTAAATAATTCTTTAGCCAGTGAATTTATTTTTTCAGTATGACTCTATTTTGATATTTGACACTAACCATATTAAATATCTGAGTTATTTGGATTATATATAATATAACCTTAAAATTTAAACCTTCTATATAATTATAGATAATTGTTAGATATTAATTAAGAAATACTATATGGAAAAAAAACGAATATTTTTTCAAATCTCGTAATGATTCTTTTTTCTTTTTTGCACCATTCTTATTGGAGTCATTGGAACCTAAAAATAGTCACGAAGCGAAATAATAACTCGTATTTATGGCAAAGCACAAAGGCTGACACAATATGAACGACTCTTTGGTTACGACGTGACTCTTTTACTATGACTTGAACTCTTATTTGGTGTGTTGTTATCTTTCAAAAAATATTTTATTTTGAAATTCCAATTTCTAAAACTATATATATATATATATATATATATATATATATATATATATATTCAGGGGAATTAGCCCGATACNTATAATATGTGTATAATCATGTATTATCAGTATATCATCTATAAAAGATCAAAGATAAATCTGGCCGGATATTTATGTAAATATTCCATAAGATTTCAGTTACTTGATTTCATCCATGCTATGACTTCTATTATAAAAATTCTCTACTGAAATTCAAAAATATCTTATCCTTTTTTTTTAAAATTACATTATATTTTAAAAAACAATCATATTTTGAACTAATTTTTTTACATTTTTTTTTTAAAAAAATGTTTGGCGTCGTACCATTTTTTTTAAATATACTTTTTGTTACACTTGAAAATCGATATAGAAACTACCAATTAGAAACCAATATCCCTCTTGTTGAAACTCGAGAAACCTTTTCACATAATTTAATGATTCAAAACTAACATTCTTCAATGAAAAAATTATTATACCCCTGCAATGTTGGCTTGACTGCAGCTAAATGAAAAAGTTTCAACTTATACCCTTCAATTCCTAAAAGGTGCTAAATTAAAATTAATGATAGCAATTGTATAACCAATATTTTGTTACTTTTTTTATGTCCATTTATACAATTTGACTCTTCAAACAAACATTCTTCAAACAGAAAAAGAAAAAATAATTTTTTTTTTTAATATTAACACATTTTTGTAATGTTTCTTTCTATAGCATGTAGGTTTACTTCATTATATATGTAAGTAAACTTTTATTTGATTTTTAAACTCTTTTTTGTTATTTGAATAAACATAGACATGTACCCTATATATTATATTTATTTTAAAAGAAATCTTCTTTATTCAAATCTAGCTATAGTGTTTAAAGAGCTATATTATAGGGTTTTTAGATGTGAAAGTGTTTAGAATTATATGTAGTAATTTTTTTTCTTTTTTGCCAGAGGCAAGTAGTATTTAAATGATTATAAATAATTAACAAAAGTTCTTAACATGATTGCATATGATCATTAATTGAATTAAGCATGATAACAAAAGAAAAATCTCTTTTTATTTTTATTTTAATTCAAATTTTAAACTTTATCTATAAAATTCAAAATTATATATATATATATATATATATATATATATATATATATATATATATATATANGGTTGAAAAATGTGTTGGTGATTCCGGCATTAGGGGGAAAAAATGGGCAGCTGAAAAAGTGATACGTGAAATGAATTATTACGAATGCGTCTAGATCCTCGTACAAGAAAATGTGAACTTGAAGTTCAAGTGATAATTCATTTCTAAAATATTTCCAAGCACATTGCTGACCTAAAGTTAAATGTCATATTCCAGCTACTAATGCTCCAAATAGAATAACGTCCATGATGGACATTAGTTATGGCACGCATGAAGCGTAATAGACTAATCGGTTCCAAAGATAAAACTCCTTGAAGAAGGAGAGGAGCAAATGTTCAAGATCGTCATAATAAGGAGGCAAGTGCTTTATAAGAGCACCATGACATAACACTTTATAAGACCTCATGGGAGAGGCTCAGGTACCTGAAAATAATGAGATCTCGATAAGTTATGTCTTTATTGTGCGATGATGGAACCGATGTAAAATGATCGTCAACGATGTTGGTAATATAACGCTCAATATTATTAATATTGACAAGGATCTTGAGCTCAAATATGTCATGGAATTTGGACAGATAAATGATTGGCCAAATGAAAAATATGCAATGAAAATTGACTTCATCTGAAAAATATGAAGTTTGGACGAATAATCCCAACAGCTGAGACTATAAAGGCTATATGGAGATATTGAAATATGATTAGTATTATATTGCAAAAAGAATCCTTGATATAGATTTGTTTATTCTAACAAATATTGTCAAGGTTTTGTTGTTTATGCAAATGCAGGCATTTATTGAAGTCCGTTCTTCAAACAATCTATTTGTATGTGAGGAGTTGTCATATTATCATTTCACAAGATGTGTGACTTTTCTTTGAAGAGAAGATTCCAATAATTATCAAGAAGCTGATGTTTGCTTATCTCAATTGAAAGAAGAATATTGAAGGAGACTGAATAAGTCATATATTTCATCGAAGTTCTTTGTCAGACACGATCTTCAACAGAATGATGAAATAGATGTTCAAGAAATTCGTTCAAGTGATAATTTGGCGGAATAATTCACCAAGGCATTGCCGATCTCAATATTAGAGAAGTTGTTAGACAAGCTTGGAATTCGTCGTGATATTTTCATCAGGGGGAGGCAAATATGTGCTGTACTCTTTTTCCCTTAGCTAAGGTTTTATCCCACTGGGTTTTCCTGGCAAGTTTTTTAACGAGGCAGCAAATAAAGCGTATTACAGATATGTGTACTCTTTTTCCTTCACTAGGATTTTTTTTCCCATAGGGTTTTTTCCTAGTAAGGTTTTAAGGAGGCACATTATCTTTGGACATCCAAGGGGGAGTGTTATGAAATACTTGATTATGGTGGATGTCCATAAAGTAACACCCACTACTCTTCTCCATTAACCTCCCACTACTTCTTACCATTATGGATGTAACTCTCACACCTCCATGATCTTCCCCCATGTTCTCAATAGTTAATACCATGTTTATGGAGTCCCTTTGTATTACCTATATCATCCTATAAATAGAGGGTTTGGGCATCACATTGTATACACTTGAATACATAGAAGAAATAAGATTCTCTCCTCTCTTTCTCTCTACATTGTTGTCTATTTTATTGTTCTATATTGTTACTTTGAGCTAAGTTTTGTAACATAATTATTATTGTTGTCCTAAAATTGTCAAGTGGCTTCATTTAGCTTGCCACTTGGCTTAACCACATGTTTCACTACTCTCCTTTTAATATAACTAGTATTACTACCCGCGCGATGCGCGGACACAATTCATATCAAATTGTGATGTATGTTGTTTGAATCATGTGCAGATAACCTTAAACTAAACCTCTCAGATTAAAATTATACAATTATCTATATTTTAATTAAGAAGCAGGATATGAAATTATTGTTCAAATATCGCAGTCGACAACCTATTTTTCCTATATCTATAGCAACCTAACCGCTTGATTCAAGTATTTGTATTTCGTTTCGCTAGCACTATTAAAGAATACAAACATATCATGTTGTAATCTATCTTGTTTGAGCACATAAGAACATATTATTTTAACAAAATTCTTACTATCACTTTGTTTTTATCTGAAAGTCAAATAAGTCTTATTCATCACATTATTTTTACGCAAATTCTTTTTTCTTTTTGTTCTTTACTTATAGTTATTGTATTATTTATTATTTAATATTATTATACTATCATATAATCTTTTATTAGCTTAACAATTAACCTAATATCTTGCTTATTATCCTTTTAATAATCTTTAATAAATATAAATTTTTTATTTTTGAAATTTAATATATTTTATGCTTGCATCCTCTTACACGGAATTCTCTAATCATTTAAATCTATCAATAATATTTTTAAAGATAATTAATTATTTAATTTATATATTTTTAAATTAATTTAAAGTATAAGTCTATTATTTTTTTTATACATTCTCTTCCCTACTATAAATTTAATTAGTTTTTATATTAATGTTTTACCTATAACCAAAATAATATCATATTTTTATTTAAATTATAACTTTGAATTAATCTAAAATATTAATGCATAAGTTCTTTGATTATTATATTTTCACTATTATTTTTCTTTACGTAATATTTCCAAAAATAAAAAAATTATGAAATAAAAAAAAATCTCATCCCAAGTTCAAATAATTCTTATCATTCTATTTTCTAAATTGGACCGTATTTTCAAAAA